CTGCGTGTGCATGTGTATTTTCCAGGGTACGAAACCATCAGCTAAATCTTTGAGTAATTATAAAAGAGTATACCCCCGGTCCAAGGTCAGCAATGTTTAATGATCCAAGATAAGGCAGCACTGGATTGGCATAAACCGGAGCGTACGTCTGATTGATTTGAGGAGTTCAAGAGATGTGTAGAATGAATGTGAATATTTTTAGAAGCATCCTTGCACCGACTAATTGAGTCACCTTTGTGGAGGTGGCTCCACACCATCTATTTTCTTAAGCCTGTCTATCAAGCATCTGTCTACCCCGATTTTCTGAATTCAACGTATTACTTAATCTACTCGTTTCGAGAGCCTCCCTTATCATGCAGTTAGCCGCAAACGTTGCCAATTCAGCAAACCGTTTCGTTTAAGACGCTTTTTATCTCAGTTCAGGATTTTGCTCTCGGCTCAACCGTTGAAACCATGAAGTATTTTAAAAATTTTGAGTTAAGCACTTGTCTGAAAGTGCATGAAAAAGAGGCGCAAAGTTCGATCTCACCAGAAGAGAATGACTGAATCGCGTTGTATTTACGTCGTTTGGCTTTAATACGAAGTTCAAGTTGACGCTGTCCACGAGACATCCACCTTCGTTTCGGGTTAAAACGTGCCGGCATCATCAGATCTGGAGCTAAATATTGCAAAAGTTTCACGATAGCAGCCAACCAGGCAAGAAGATTATCCTGTTCTATCTTACCTCTTATATAGACTCAATTAAGCAAAATTAAATTAAAATGTACAGATAGATATAAAATAGTTTTGGTCAATCATTTTTTGTATTGGTCTTTCACTTTTGCTCGAATTTGTGTGTTTGTGTCAACGTCTATGCACATAGTCTGATATCAGGCTCTGGTGATCAAGGCTTAACGACCCAACAAAAGCCCTGATCGAGACTGCGTAAGTCCGTAAGCAAGTATGGTTGAGTTAATAACATGTAAGCTTGTAAGTGTGTGAGTCAAGTTACGAAACCACTTGTCCCAACTTCTCAGTCTAGGGTCATACAATTTTCAACCGCCCAATCAGAGGCATAATTGAGGTTGTGTAATCTGGTACGTCTGGTTTTGGCAAACGGCTCAACACACACGCCATCACTCCTTCGATCTTTCGATTAAGCATAAATAGTTATTGAAGTTGTTTGATCTTGTCTTCGCAACTTGATCATATTGGCAGGAAGACTCGGAGGAGCGCACCTTGTCCGGAGTCCATTGTATGCATCATCATTTTCAGAGTAGGACCGTGGATGTGGTACATTCCAAGACGTTTCCTGACATCGTCAGTGAGTCTCGCCATTCGTAACACCGTACAACAATTCGTCAACAACTCGTCTCTTTGACGAGTTTTTGAATGGTGCTAAGAATGGCGGGACTCACTGACGATGCCGGTAAAACGTCTGGGAATGTACCACATCCACGGTCCTATTCTCGAAATGATGATGCATACAATGGACCCCGGACAAGGTGCGTTCCTCTAAGTTTTCCTACCAACATGACCAAGTTGCGAAACCAAGGTCAAGCAACTTCTATACAACGAAAGGAGACTGCAACCACACAAAAGGTGACGCCATTTCGGTCTTCATACATTCGAATAAAAAGTTATTTTTCAACTTCCTACCTCCGTTCCTTCCTTATCTGTCTTTTAGCAACGGATGTAACATTATCTGTAAAACTGCTCGTTTGCGAACTTTCCATCTCATGTTAGGTTACTTCTGAGCGTTGGATCCAGCTCTCTTTGCAAGCATTTTTGTGTTTTCCCAATCTTTGTCGAATCGGCCTGCATGTCTCACCAACATAAGAAAATTAGGCAAATTTCTCTCTTAAAGTTGGCATAACCGAAGAAAGTGCGAAGGTTTCTTCGTCTAACTTTGACCAACTAGTCTCCTTCTGAACATGTATTCCTCAATAAAGAGCTAATCTTCGCAATAAGGCTCACAAGATAATTAATCTCCAGGACTAAATATGTCCGCCGATTAAATTATTTCGTCTATTCGTTGCTACCCGCAATTTCCATACTCGTAATAATAAGTGCGTTCACAATTACAATCTTAGTCTCGTATTTATGGTTGGAAAGAAAATTCCGAAAATTAGCAACATATTTTGACTTCCTTTAACGTTCCTTCCCAACTCACCTTCTCCTCCAACGATCACAACATCTTTTTTTGTAAGTGAACATATTTTCGAGACTATTATTAACTCAGATAGATGAATTGTTTTACTCTATTTCGTTTTAAGCTGCTGAAGGAGTGGTATTTGAATTTTCCCACAATCATATGAATAGAGCTGATATTTTTCATTGAATTTCACATAATCTTACTTCCCCAAAATATGTTCTCATCCACAGTTGACTGCCGTTTCAACCTTGCTTAGGTCCTACAGCAAACCCAGTTATACCCGAACCATGCGAAGAAAAGTTGGGTTTCGAGAAATCTCTTGTTTCATAATTGTTGAGCTTACTTCCATCTCGAGTGAAAGTGTTGCGTGAAGAGATTCGAAGGTCGATTCCACCAGAAGACGATGGGTGATTCCTTTTGACCAGCTGTCGATTGGCTTTACTGGAACATTCATGCTGACACTGTTTCCGAGGCAATCTTCTTCGATTCCGGTGAAAAGGTGCCAAGTTTTTGTCCGTCATGTGACGAACATCATCAGAGCAAGGTATCATCTTCACAACAAAATTCGAGCTTACGAGTCAAGAAAACTCACCGGCAAATCCCTAAAAAGTGGTATATATACTCCACATCTGGTTTCTTTGATCAAGTACAAAGTTATCTGGTTAGTTAAGGTCATATGTCATCTTCGATGCATGTGAGTGTGTCTGTCTCTGTATGTGTATGTGCCTGTTTGTGTTTGCTTATGCACGAAACCCGAAGTGATGGCTCAGAGTAATTAGGACAGCAAAAAGAAACATCTGTTTTTGGTCATCAAGGTTTAATGACCCCTTCCTCTTCCTTTCTACATTTTAGTTATAACCATCCCTTCAATTGCGCAAGGTCGGACACTCGCCTGGTTTTGTTGATAAGCCTATTTTTGGTTTTTGGTCTCAATGCGAGAGAGAAAAAGTGAGCCAAAAGTACAGAAAATTGACTAGCATTAGGACCAAAACAAGAAAAGTCTATTAGATGTATTCACCCAATTTCGTTTTAAGGTGATGAAGGACTGGTAGAAATAGAATTTTCCCACAAACGTCAGCTCAACTCATATCATTTGTGGGAAAATTCTATTTCTACCAGTCCTTCATCACCTTAAAACGAAATTGGGTAAATACATCTTATAACCGATTTACTGGTAGTCACGAAAAACAATAGTTTATTCGCAAAATAAAGTATTGTAGTCGATTGTTATAGCAAAACATACGTTTGCTTCCACAAAAAAAGCATATGATATGGCAAAAAGGCCTGGCCTTCCTTAAAATGTCACATTTGCCCTGCGACCCAAAAGGTGCTCGTGGCATAGTAGCCGAGTGGTTAGCGTGTCAAGCTACCGTCCTGAACTGTCGCGGTTCGACTCCCGCTGAGGGTGTTG